TGATGACTGAACAGTTTCTGCCGCTGAAATACTAACACGAGATTTAGGTTTTACTGAAGTAAAAAGAAATCTAAGCATCTAATGTGCTTGTTTGCATACTGTGTATGGACAAATAAATACATGTTTAGAACCGGATTAACCCCAAAATCCTCTATCAATTGAAAACCTTTAAACTGGTTTATTTCCATTTAGAAACCAGTAAGTGAGCTTTGATTAACTATTGGAAACATTTATAGGGAAATGAGGGTTGTTCAAATACACAAGTTTGCTCATTTTGGATGGCGTATTAAAAAATATATATGTACGCTGTACAAAATACTCAAAATACTGTATAATAGGTTGCAATAGTCTAAAAGACCAAAATTAACCATGTTTAAGTATAAACCTTAACGGCGCCGGTGGTGTAGTGGTAAGCGTGATTACCTCTCACCCCAGCAGGCCTGGGTTCAATCCCAGTCGGCGCCACCGGGATGTTCTGAGGCATAACATCTCTGATCACGCCTTCCTTCGGATGGGAAGTAAAGCCGTTGGTCCCCGGTTCATGAGTTGATGGGTCGATAGGTAGGGTCCAGGTGTGGGAGCTGCCTTCCTGGCACGTCGGTAGCATTGGTGCTCAGCACGGAAAACAAGATCGACGGAAAAAACAAACCAAAGGAAAAAAAAGTATAAACCTTGTTTTGCGGCGGTACCCTTGATACCTGATTTATTTGTTAAGTTACTTGAATTTTATGAACATTTTATAAGAATATTTGACCTGTACATTTGCGTTGGTATGAGAGTGACAACTAGTTTTTCTCTCTCTCTCTCTCTCTCTCTCTCTCTCTCTCTCTCTCTCTCTCTCTCTCTTTCTTTCTTACCTACGCTAATCTCGCCCGTGGACACCAAGCATTCTCAAGTCTGAATACAGTTTTAATCATGGTGGGTATTTACATGGTGATACCAAGTAAATAAATACGAAACTAACGATTTTAAATTGGCTACCTACTTGACTAGCCTATTAGTCCCAAGCAAACGATTAACGTACCCAATTCTAGTACCTCTATGGTAATACAGCTTTGTCACTAAGGTGGTCGCGGGAGGAAAAGTGCGGTTTTACAGCAAATTGTAAACAAACTCGGTCGCTGTCCCATATAAAACCAACATGGCTCAATCATGAATTTGACACATTAGAACACCTATATGTAGTCACCTTGGTTTTAATCGTGCGTATACTCAAATAGAAGTATCAGCTATGCTTCAAATTATAAAAGTGTATGTGATGTCAGCATTGCTTACATCTAAGTTGAAACCAATACCAAGGAAATGTATAATAATCCAGGATTTTTTTTTCAAAGTAAAAGAATGAAGGAATATATATTGTTCATGCTTGATATAGATTTCTTTAGTACAAGTGTATTTTGTTTTTGGCATAAACTTACTGATCAGTTCGGGAACAACAAGGCTGATTTTATTAAATTTTTAACAGAAAACTTTTATATTTTATTATAAAATCTGGTTTATTTGACCCCATCCTCTCCTTCAAAGGCACAAGCTGACTACTAGAAGAAATATTGGCTACTTCAGATAAAAGGTACTGACTATTTGAATCAGTGAAGTATCATAATGGGGAAAAACTATTGAAAATATGAGATTTTGGGGAAAAATAGGCTCCAAACATGCACTTATCACAGCGTGCGCCGATGAAAATATGCAGAATAAAATTCTTGACATTTTTTCTAAAGGAAGTCATATGTTATAATGTGTGGCTTCAGCGGCAGACATTTTGTTCTTCAACAGCAGTTCTTTCGGTCGATGCGTTCTCGACTTTGGAAAGCAACCGTTCAGTGATGAGTGTGTGAGTGCTGACCACGTTTTGCGTCCATTGCTGCAATGGAAGCGCTCTGACCCTCGTTGGCGTAACTGCCATACAATGAAACCACTGGAAGCGGCTCCAGTTTTGATGGAGGAGGCTTTTTGGATAGCGGAAGATAAAGTGTTTATTGTGTTGTACCTTTTGACTATAGTATAAGATTTATTGTTAGTGACCAAGAATCCTCGGCTCTGTAAAGTTAATTCGTTTGAGCCTTATCAAATAAAATAAATTAATAAACATCTCCTCATCCATCGTATAAAATGAGCACTTTAAGTCTGATATGTCGTTTAGCATCTCCAACTATGTAAATCGGTAACATCACGCATGTAGTAATACTAACATAATTAGTTAAAGAACACGAAGGCGGTTTTGGATGAAAACATTAATTTGCTAAACACCATGAAGTTTATGAAGAATCCCTTCAGTATGGAAGGCTGCGCTGCTTAAGGCTATAACGCCTGTAATACCGGTGGCCAAGAAACAATTCTGGGAATTGTTTCCAGAGAAGACAACCTCTCAACCATGATAAACTTTTGATTTTCTTCGAAAATAAATCAGACTTTTTTCGTTATTATTATACTCAAAACATTGTCTCAATATTACTTCTAAAAAGTAGAAGGGTCTGTGCCTAGAGGCACGAACGAAAGCTTGACGTAGGACCGCTAGTGGACGGAATAAATGTGAAGAGCATTTAGTTATTTTAATTGATCTATTATCTACTATCTCAACTCTTTCCGTTTTTGAATTGTAGGCGTACCAAATTTGTAGTAATATTTTTCAAATAGAAAGTTGATTAAGAGAATCAATCAAAATCACTTGCACCCCTACTTCCGAGTTTGGTTACAAGATAACAACTCTGGAGAGCATTTTGTGTGGTCGTTGGGGTCTTGTGGTTCTCAATATGGACAAACAAGCACAGATACATTCTATTCCAACTCTTTACTGATGTAAGCTTGATAGCCATGAAAAGGGCCGTTTTATTGAAGAGGACATCCATGGCCACTTACGCTTGGCGTGTTTAGTGTAGGTGACAGCATCACGGACCTCATTTTCCGGGAAAACCTTCAGAACACCTCGTAGATCAGACCGGAGATACGTCAGACACCGCCACGGCGAGCCAGACGACGGATGGTAGTTATCTCGAAGAATTTGCGTTTGGTTTTGAATATGGCGATGAGTGTGCAAAATATTACGCAATTCCATCCTCCCTATTCGCACGCGCCCGAGGATCGGAGGCGAATGCCACTTCGACTTGTTTCGTCTACTTACTACTCTCTGACGACTGTGCTGGGGAAGCAGCATATGCATGTAGGTAATTGGTGGATTTGTTGGTTGGCGTTTGAACAATGCTGGACATTTACCAGTTTTTCAATAGTTTCTTCTTGAAAATCAACATTTGGAAGCATTATTATCGATGCGTAGCCATATTTCTGATCGATTGGTTATAAAATTATTGAAATTGGACCAGGGCCAGCTGAGTTATTAACGTTCAAAATCTTTCTTAATTTGTTACATGTTCCATTTTCGGTTACATAAGAAATCAAAGACGTAGTCCTACGTCAAAAATCAAATGTGGTTAAAATTTATATGGAACTGATATGCTTTTATGAGCAGTTTTAGACACGCATGTCTCATGATTATGCACAATCAACTGTTTACCAGAGAAAATCTTCCATAAGAATAGATAAACAAATTGTCAACAGAGCAATATGGAAAAGACTAGAAGTCAATGATCAAAAATGTTGGTTTTCCCATAGTAATTTCCATATTAACTTCAAATGGTGTGTGCCTTGTTTGTTTCTTACTAAATAAGTTTAAATTTTGGACGGTTAATCAGGACCCGAGTTGGAATCGTTTGAGCACTGTGGTACGAACATTTCAAACTTTGCATAAGTCTACTGCCCAACACCGTTCTTTATTGTTGTCTCGTTTATGAGCAATTTCCATTTTGAACTGATCGACAAATTAAGCATTATTTCCCGGAGGCAGTCAACCGGGCATCTTCGCTCTTGGTCGAATCTACCTGAGCAGGAGAAAATATCTAATAAATACCTGAATTCTGAAATTTGGTATTGATCAGCATGACATAAGAGGTAAAATACCAAAGAATAATACCAAAAAAATTCATGCAAAATACTTCGCAAATAACAAAAAATTATATTTTGATACCAAAAGAATATCTGTGTGGAATTATTTTGGTATTGCATTATCATAATTTGGTATTGAAATGGTATTGTGAGAACATTTCTTTAATATTATTATTTGGTATTTTACCTCTTAGGTCAGGCTCATCCATACCAATTTTAGGTATCAAGATATTCGTTCCTGCTCGGGTAACGCATCAACCATATGATCAAGAAAAGCAAAGCCCGTTACGTTGACACTCACTCATACACTACACACATACAAAAAGAAGGTGCACAGATGAGACATATCACGTTGCATTCTTTGTTGGCAAAATCAAAAAAACAAATCCAACAGCAGTGTTTTATGCAAAAAAAAATTGGAACACATCTTTTCCATAAAAGGTGACTGCAGTGGAAACCGGAAAAGCGTTCTCCAGAGACAGATATCCATCCGAAAGGCGACAGCCTCTCGCCGAGCTTGGCCACAAAACATTTTTTCCGTCTGGGAGGTTGAGTTTGAGTTTCGGTTTGAGTACGTGCTCTGTTGTGTAGCCAGGTAGGTAGGTTCGTTCGTACCTATCTCCGGTATTTGCCACACAAGTGTGTCGGTATCAAGGGACTCGACGCGGGAAAAACAACAGGGAAACTTGAACCAAAACAGAAAAAATTCCGGGAAAACATTAAATCGGCAGGGTGGGAGGGTGCGTCACTTGTTTGTGGTGGACGCATATACAGCAACAAAGGAGAGTTTCTGATTTCTGCCATGATAGGCACTCAGGAAGACAAACAAAGCACGAACCAGGGATTTTTTTTAAAGGTAGAAATTTGAGCAGACGTTTGTCTGTCCCCTAGACGATAAAGATGCCGGTGATAATGACCAAAGGTTGACAATGTTTTTCAGGATGGGTAAAAATAAACTTGTGACAGTTTAAGCAATTTTTGACATACATCAGCGATCGCAAGGGAGATCGAATTTTGTATTTTGATTCCAACTTTTAACAGAGAAGCAGAATTCACCTTACCTCAGTCTGCGACAGGCAAATGCACCGGGACGGGCACTTTTTGGTGGCTAATTGCTCACATTCGTGAAATCGCCATAGGACTCCGATGTAGAACAGAACTCGCCAGACGACATTCATAGCTTCTTTTCGGAATTGTTCGTTGTTTTTCCAGGACAGCTGCTGCTGCCCGGTTTTATGTGGTGATGGGGAAAGTTTGTTTGGTTCAAAGGATTCTAACGATTTTCTACGTTTCCGCCGCTGTACGGTTCGATTCTTCTGGAGAATTGATGGTAGTTCGATTATTGGGGATTATCTGCAATTGAGAGAAAAGAAAAATCATTAGAAGCTGCGTTCACTATCAAGGACAGTTTTCGATGGCATCAGCAACGTCAGTGAACCGCTTGCCATTGCCATCATCATGAATAGTCAAACGAGTTTCGGTATCACTTCGCAAGAAAAGTCTCTTTCTTCAACCGTCAACCTAGACTTTTCAACAAGCTTCTTTGAAACTTGTCTTTTGTCCATCCTGATCCACCTTGTGCTTCAAAACGACGACGCCACGGCAGACAGCGCGCAGTTCGTTTGTATTTATTCAAATTCGCTTCTCTTTCCACCGTCGTCGTCACGTGCCCTCACGTCATGTCAACCCATTCTTCTCAATGCGACACCCTGAACAAGACGACGACGACGACGGACTGTGCTCGTTAACGAGTCCAAAAGCATCCCCCGCGGCCCCCGGTTTCATCATCCTTCTGGCAAAAGGGAGTGAAAAAGTTTAAATTAAATTGGAACTCTGTCAACATTTTCATCAGTAGGATGACTGTGGGGCGGCGAGCGTGGTGGCGTCGTTGGCGGACTCCGGCGGCGTGCTTTTGCACTCCACAGAAGGACTTGAATGACAACGAACTGAACTAGGTAGGTACGTACACTGGTAGGTTCTTCCGCAAATATAGTACTTGAACATGCTACCGGAAATTATGACAAAACCTTTTCCGGTTTGTTCTTCAGTTCGTCTTCGTATTTTTTTTTCTACTAGAAGATGGAATGCAACGTCTATTCACACCATAAAGAGGGGGCGAATTCGTCTTCTGGCTCGCTACTTTCGATAAAGGATTTTTTTTCTACTCTTTGGGTGACACTTTCTTCCTGCTGGTGGAAGAAAAAGTTTTAGATGTTATTTAAATTTAATGGGCACGAAATTATAATGGAGGAGTGAATGATGATACTGGATGATGTTTTTTGAATCCACTTTCCCGCTCCGAATAGGTGATCTACTACGCGGAGTTGTATCGGAATTGATTGAGTCTTAGTTTGTGGAACTGCCCCCTTACCCTGCTTAATTTTTTTATCCTTTTATTTTATTTGTTAGTTCAATATTCTTGATATGTTAAAGCTCAGTGCTGTGTTCCAAAAATGTGTAGTTGCACCTAATATTTACCTGCGCTCTTAAAATGTAAATCTGCCAAAAATAAAGATGCGTTCGTCCCTCGAAGTTGTTTTAAATAGTGTATTATCTAGTTGATATGGTACGTTGAAAAATATTTGTGCTTTATTGCTGCTGCACGATGAGTAGCACCGTACTCTACAGGTGGCGAAGGTGGCATTTGTAACACAACAGAAACCCGAGATGCAGAAAATCGCTCTAATGTTCCCTGAATATCTACAAAGTCCGCTTATCTTTATTTACTTTTTTTGTGAATTATTTTATTTGTACAGGCTCAATCGCATAAACTTAACAGAGCCAAGTTATCATTTGCGTTATGTATTATAATGTCTTAAATCTAAAATTAAAGGAATTGAACCGATTACTCGCGGTCTTCTCGAGGTTAGTGGATGGCAATTGTATGGATCGGGAAAGGGAAAAGGAGATTTGGAATATGATTTATGATTAAAAAATTTCACTGTTTCCAAAACATGTGCTTAATCTTATCATCATTATGTCAACACAAACACTCACAAAATACAAACTAAACACAAGGTTAATCATACTTACAATCTATGGTTAATAATCTTAAAGGAAACGTATATGAGTTTCATAACCTCCAGATCACGTCTAGCCAATATGTCCCAAACTGGGACATTAGGTTGTCTACCTCGAGCCCGAAGGGAATCGTACAACTCGGATCTGACTCCACGCTACTCAGCACAAGACCATAATGTGATCTGCGTCCTGGTAACCTTGTCCACCCCGAAGCACAACACGGAACAAATGTACGCTTAGCGAATAGTGATTGGACATGAGACGAGACATCACACGAATGAAGTCTCGACCCACCGCCAACCCTTTAAACCAAGGAATCTTCGACACCTTAGGGATGATCGAATATAGCCATCGACTCAAACTCTCTTCACTCCATTTATTTTGCCAGCAGGCGAGTGACTGTTGCCGATAAATTAAGAAAAAAATCGTTGTAGGCGATTTGTCGATCGTAAATATCACCTTTCATAGCGCCCACCTTTGCAAGTGAGTACGCCATCTCATTGCCCGGAATCGAGAACCCATGCAAATGGTTCTGTTGATGAATATCCCATTCTGATATTTGGTTTGTGTATGAGTAAAGGGATGTTTGTTTTTGTTACTGGCTTTGATATGGAGATTACTGACACCACGTCACGTATTTATAGGTGTTTTATCAGGAAGCTTTTATCTTAGCGAAGGATTTTCCGATGAAACACACGGCGAATGGGAGAGACCCGGGTTTGAGTTTGGTTTACTCATAGGTCGCTTGAGGTGCTGGAGGTCAGCGATGGGTAGGTTTGCCTCATGTTGACGTAGAACTACGTCTTTGCCGACTATACTTGGGTACAAATAAAAAAATATGTTTGGTGAAATCGTGTTGGGTTTTGAACGCTTGTAACTTTGTCATTTATAGATGAAATTAAAATCCAAATACCGCAATCGATAGGATACTACTTTATAAATCTGCTGAAATAAATACTTTTCCAATTCGTAGTTAAAACATTTGAAAAATGCGCAAATGACAGTTTTATCACTGTTTTCATGAACTAAACGTTTTCCCCAAACCCAGTCATCATAAACGAATACCATTTGATTGCACATCATTCTGCTTGAACCTGAAAAGATATAAAACAGCGCTGCTTTCCTGCCTCTGCTCATCATTCACTGCTTGATCGTCAAGCAGTCCAGTCCGGTTTCGTCCGCTCTCTCTCTTGAGTATTAGTTCTGTGACAGTATGGGAAAACCGCCGCGTGGTGATGCGGTTGCAAGCTCGTCCGGGAAGCGTTCCCGTCAGGAAATCGCCAACGCTCAGTCGGCCTCGAAAAAACTGCTGTCCAACAACCGGTACGCCATTCTGGAAAATGGTGATGAACCGGAAATAAAGAAGGGATTCCCGCCTGGACTTCGGGAAAACATCGAGTACTACATCGAGAAAGGCTTCTTGAAGTGCACCATGCGCCTGTGCTCTGAAGGCATCATGCTGATGGTACCAGCAAGGAAGGACTACAAGGCCGTTGAAGTGCTGCTGAAGCAGAAAAAATAGGAGTATTTCTCTCACGACATCGAGGAGGACAAGCCGCTCAAGGTAGTCGTGCGTGGTCTGCCCGATATGGAAATCGCCGCGCTGTCAGATGAGCTGAAGAAGAACGGCCTAAGGCCATCGCAAGTCTTCAGGCTGAATCGGCACGACGCCTCCCGCAAGTACCGTGACCAGCTGTATTTGCTCCACCTCAAGCGAAACACAACGTGTTTGAAGGACCTACAGTGTATTCGGGCGCTTTTCCACATCGTGGTTAAGTGGGAACGCTACCAACCTCGCCCCGGTAACGTCACCCAATGCTCAAACTGTCTCATGTTTATGCATAGGACCAAAAATTGCCACATGGCTCATCGCTGCAACGAATGTGGCAAACAACACGAACCCGAAGAATGCGAGAGCATGGAAAACGCCGATCCACAATGCGCCAACTGTGGTGCAGCACATCGAGCTACCAGCAAGTCTTGTCCGAAGCGTACGGAATTCAAGGAAATCCGCAAAAGGGCCTCCACGCAGAACCAGCCGGGTCGGAAAAAGGTACCGGCACGCAATGAGCAGAATTTCCCCGCCATTAGCCAACGGCGTCCGATTCCGATTCTTCCGCCACTACCGCTCAACAACCGTTTGGCTGCTGCTGCTGCTGCATCGGTACCGCCAACTGCTGAGGTGCCAAACCATCCGGCTAATCCGAGCCGTCACTCCTATGCCCTCCCCCGGGTCTATCGTGGCGTCGAGATGATGCCCCACCATCGCATGAAAACGAAGAGCTACTCACAACAGAGGAACTTATTACCATCATGGCAGAAGCAATCATCATCAAGCGCTCCTGCAAAACCAGAACCGAGCAGATTCTTGCTGCATCACGTTTCATCGACAATTATGGACCGTGAAACCATCAAGATCGCCAACTGGAACGCTTGCTCGCTCAAGAGCAAGATCATCGAGTTCGTTGACTTCCTCAACAAACAAAACATCGACATTGCCGTTATCACCGAAACCCACATGAAACCGGAGGTAAACGTCTACCTTCCTGACTTTCGGCTTCTAAGACTAGATTGAACCAGCTCCGGGGGAGGAGGAGTTGCTATTGTTGTAAGGAGAAACATCTGCTGTCGGCTTCTGCCGAGCTTCCAGCTGAAAACCATCGAAGCGTTATGAGTAGAAGTCTCGACTCCTGTCGGCCCTATCACCATCATTGCGACGTACTGCCCCAAGCTAATCGCCATCAGGGACGGGTCGGCAGCAGACCTCCGGAGGGACATCATCAAACTAACTCGACGGCGCGAAAAGTACATCATTGCTGGCGACCTGAACGTCAAACACCAGGCTTGGGGCAATAGTCGACGCAACCAAAACGGCATCAACGGCGCGCTACACTATATTAGCGCCGGACTCTCCCACCTGGTTGAGCCGGTCTGGCGTTCACTCCACCATTGACATCCTCATCAGCAACATGGGAGACAACATCTCGCTACCTGTGACCCATCAGGAGCTGAGTTCGGAGCACTATCCGGTGGTGGCCGAAGTAGGCTCATCTGTCAACCGATTCCAAGCTTCCCGACGCAACTACCATCGTGTCAGCTGGGAGCAGTTCCAACACTGTGTCGACTCCACTGTCGACTACGGTGTCCTTCTGGAGACGCCCAAAGACGTTGACCGGTGTCTGCGTTCCATCGAGGAGGCGATATCCCGGGCCAGGGAACAACACGTGCCAGTATCCAGACAGGTTAGCAATACTCTGAACCTTGATAGAATTACCAAATATCT